TATGGAAATAGATGAAAATTGAGGGGTTCTTATGGAACTTGGAATGAAAAAAATTTTGAATGAAAAAGATTATATCTGGAAACCGAAGATTAGCCTACGTATGGTTCTGGTTCAGAAAAGAAATCGTCCACACCAGAGAGCATGGCTGATGCCAAGAATGCGAGCAGTAGATGAAATTGATGGTGGTGGTGACCAACAGCTTGTTGACCATCTGCTGATTGATATTATTAGCAGGATCAAACTCGGACGAAAACGTACTAAAGTGCAAATTGGGCTAGGAATGGAAAAATGTAAGAAGAGGAAAGTTGGAAAGATACTGTCCAGGGAGCTCTGATCTGTCCAGAAGAAAATATTGTCATTTTGAAATTGGCATAAGAAGAAAATGTGAATCCACTGAGCAACTCAAATCATGCCAACCACAGTCACAGGATTGATTGGATTATTGGCTTTTTAAGAAAAAAAAATCACATGCTATTGTTTTAAAAAATAAACAAAAATCGAGAGGCGCTTATTCAAACGGGGCGCTTATTCAAACGGGGCGCTTATTCGTGCGAGTACAGTAAGCCTAGTCATTATTATTATTATTATTATTATTCATAATGTATTTATAATGTGTTTGTGTTTCTTGTACTTTATCTATTAATGGAGGTATGAACAATTCAATTTATTTAGTTATGACAATGATAAGAGATTCATTTTGAACAAGTTATCATTTCGCAATAGACCTACATTGTTTTAAAATAGGCCTACCAATTGTAAATTGGTCATTTTTTTGAGTCATGCTACTACCTTCTGTGTCAAGATATAACATTTTTAAGCTGGGTGCTTTTCTGGGCGCACTCTTTAGCATTATGTACAGGGCATTTTTGTGAGCATAGGCCTAATGGTTTTGAGATTCCGGAAGAATAGGATGCCCTGAAAGTCAAACACTTTAAAAATTCTCCCTGTGTGAGGGTCCCTTATGATCATTACACACACAAACCCGCTCCAGGCGACCAAGTCAGCTATGGGGATCTCTTCGGTCTGCTGTGAACATAACAAAGGCATGCTCTGATCGAAGTTTTTAGGCCTGTACGGGCACTATCACTCCCATTATTATACAACATTTCTAAGCAAAGTTACAAGGCTGACCTGAAGGTCAAAGATACTTGATAAGTAGAGACCTCTCAAAGAAAAAATATATATACATTTTTTCTCGCTTTTAAATAAGCCGAGTGAAGATTGGAAAACAATAAATAAAATTAAAAAAACAAAAGAGAAAAACCCCAAAACAGGTGCAAAAATTAAAGTATTTCATCATCGAGTTTTAGTGATAATTTTTAACTGATTTTGTGCGGTTTAAAGAAATTATCTGAAGTCTGGGGTGAAGAAAATATTTATTTAATAATGTACTTTTTATTATTTTATCTAGTATTAGCATTTTTTCAAAATGGACCATTTTAAAAGGTGTTTGGCTGCCATATTTAAGTGTTTGCATGATCAGGGTCAGACATAGTCTAATGATATCAGGCGTGATCGATTTTATTTTATTTAGTTTAAGTATATAAAACTAATATACAAGATATTTGTTGATATTGTGCAATGGTCAATCCGATAAATAAAAAAACACTAATTCCATAAATATCGAATGTGCTTTTTCTTTTGGCCATAAGAAGAGAAATGCTTATTATTGTTATGGTCAGTCCAGCCCTCCCAGAACATCTAAACATTAAAAATTAAAAAAATTGAAAGATTTATTGTCAAAATAGTATAAAAAATCGGGACCCCTGCTTTTAAACTAACCCATCGGTGGTACACATCTTAGCTGACATGGCAAGTCAATTTGCATGCGTCATGGGCCCCGACTGCACTTTTGAACCAGGGCCCTCACAACCTAGTTACGCCATTGCCTCAAAATGCAGGAAATTACATTACCGAGTTTCTAGAAAACAAAAATAAAAAACACCTTACAAAAGTAAGTTACCCTACCACAACTTCAAGTCTACCCCCAAAGCCTTCGCCCTACACTCGACTACAAAACCTGTTCTTAATTAATGATGGGCTCACTTCGATCGCGTTAGTCCTTCCATCACACTCAAACTGTAATATCGAGTATGTCATCATCATATAAGAGAGTACATATCCGAGCATTTAGGGCCCTCGGATCCCCGTTCGAATATAACATGCAATCCCACCCCAGATTCTTTACTAAATACTGTACATTAATTTCATGTTATTAAAGGTCGGCAACGTGTAAACGAGTAACAACCTGCACACAAGCGCACAATGAATACGAGCTTAATGAATGGAAAGAACGCTATGAGTATCGTATGAAAAAAATGCGACAGTCATTTCAAGAACTGTCTTCAGTAATTAACTATGACTACAACTTTGATAATTCTCTAGTAAGTGAACGAATTGCGATTTTGAAGTTTTCAAGTTTGGTTTATTGATACTGAAAAAGTACATGTAGGCCTAGGTCTATTTAATAATCTTAGACATTCTATTTTTCAATTTAACGTTTAGTCCTATCTATTCATCAACTCAATATAATCAGTTTTAGCCCGAATAAATGGACTGTCATATTGTTCGGGTTAAATGCTAAATGTAAATAAATATTCTTTTAAAACAGTTGAAAGATAACATTGATGGTGTAGAATGCAAAGAAAACGGCAAAGTTAACAGAAAAATCGATGCAACTGAAAGGATCAACAAAAAATTCACGTGCACTTTCAAGTTTATTATAAAATGCACGGGAGAAGTAAGATTATTACATTATCTTTCTTATATTAAACATTTAGCCCATAATTACAAACCTATTGATTGTGCTCTTTTTTTATTGTATTTTATTGGGCAGAATATTTTACACTAAAATTTAAAACGTATTTGTTATTTTCACTACTGCATGTGTTCTTAAATTGTCACGTGTTTTTTTTTTTTTATCTTAAATTGATACAAACTTTTCATGGGTTTAATCAACTAAAGTAAAATAAAATAAAAGTAGGAAAATATATCAAATTCAATATAATACAAACAGTGCTCGAATAGGAACATTGATGTAATAATCCTCAACCATCCCTCCAACGAAAAATTTAATGGAAATGATATTATATTATATTATCATTGTTGTGGTTTACAGAAAAAAATGAAACGTGTTTTTCTGCTTCATGATGAGCACAGAGATAATTTCTACTTCACCCAGCCTTTGGAAGAAGACAAGCCCCAAATCTGCCCAGGAAACAAACTACTTGAGGACGATTATGTGACGTGCAGAGTATCTGTTAAGTTTGTATCATTCAGTACCGGGCATTTTGATCAATGGGTAATATTCGATCTAGGACAGAATTTTTACCTGAAGAGAGAAATTTCTGTTCACGTTGGACTAAAAGATGATGTTGATATACCCATGAACCGTGATAGTATTCAGCTTAACAGTTCGCCATGGGAAGATGTTATACCATTTGAGGAAAAACCTGACTTTCAGAAAAAGTTACTAAACAATGCAAAATCATTCAAGCCAAAAACAACTGATGATAAACTTCTGAAAGAGAAACTTTCAGAAAATAACTACAAAATGATGATGCACAGGTTTATAGACATAGAAGAACGAGAACAGCAAACGATAATTGAAAGGTAAGGTTTATTTAAATATAGGCCTATGTAGGCTAGTTCCTTTTTTACAATTTCAAGGAAAACTAAAATGAATTGGTAAAACATTTTTTTTATATATATTCTCTATTCTTTACTTAGGTTGAATCTTAAAACGAAGATTTGCTTTACTGATAAAATCCAAACCGATTCTACAGGGGCCTCAAATATGATAATAGCTCAAGGAGGTGAACAGTTCGGCAAGATAAATCTTAAAAATACATTGGATTTTGATTCCTTGGCTGGCATCTTAGTTCTTGAGTCAGTTAATTCTGTGGCCTGTAGGTTTTACTCGAATCCGACCATGGCTTTTGAAGCTAAAATTTACAAAGACGGCACTGTTGATGGTCGTACCGAAGAGAACGTTTATGTATTATTCAACGACAGATGCGTATCTGAGATGAACCTAAAGGATGGTAGCGAACATGAAGCTGAAGTAAAATTTCTCATTGATCGGATACCATTTGTGGAAATGCATTTCGCCATTCAGAATCTAAAGAATATGCATTGCGTTTGGCCCAGAAAGTCAGAACAGCTAACGATTGCCAAGGATGGCTCAACTGAATTAGACAAGTACCAGGAGACTGCTGCTAGATTTATTTGTTCGAAAAAAATACGACACGAAGAAGCACCTTTGGTAATATGTGGACCGTTTGGTACCGGGAAGACTAGGGTGTTGGCAACATCGGTTAAAAGGATACTTGAACAATCAGACGATTCTCGTATATTAATATGTACACTGTCTAATAGGTAAGGTGATTATATTTATTAAATAACTAAAGCTTAATTTGATTCTTGAAATTCTTGAAAACTTCGTAAGTAAAGAAAAAACATTTATCAGTTAAATTTAAATCTTTCACAGTGCGGCTGATCTTTATATTACTGATGGTATACAAGAGGAATCTGATAAATTTATTAAGGCAAGCGATGCTTACAAAATTCTACGTGTTTATCAGCCGAACAGACGCGTGTCCACAATATCACCACGCGTTAAGAAGCATTGTTTATTTGAAACTAAAAGTAATCTTCGTGTTCCCGAGCGAGATGATATTGAAAAGGCTAGAGTTGTCATATGCACCTTGGCAACTGCCATTTATTTGATACCGCTGAACGTTAAAGGTTCTTTTACGCATATTCTTATTGATGAAGCTGGACAGGCTCTTGAGCCGCAGACGATAATGCCGCTAGCGTTAGCTGACGACAAAACGTGCGTAGTGATAGCAGGCGACCATTTACAGATGAGCCCTAAGGTAAGCCGTAAGGCTTTTTTTTATCATCACAGAAGTTAACTGGAAAAATTGAGTTTTTTTGTTTTTTTTAAGTTTTGTAAAACACATTTGATAGATAGGCGTAGTGTTCACAGTAATTTTACAAACTTAGCTACTCTTCGGAAATATATCCATCTAATTTTGTTTTAGATATACTCCAAATCAAGCAAAGATGTCAAGTTTCATATATCTCTACTAGAACGTCTGAAGAAAATGGACATGGCCAGTAGTGTCTTACTTCGACGCAACTACCGAACATGTCGGCCGATACTTGAATTTCTATCTACATTCATCTACGAAAAAGGAATTGAATGTGCTACATATGAAACATTTAATCCCGACTTTCCAGCAATGTCGCTAGTAGAGGTGAAAGGCTTAGATACAAAGCAAAACTCTTCATATGTCAATAAGGATGAAAGCACCGAACTTGTTGAACGTGTAAAACATTTGCACGACCACTGGCCAAAACATTTTGGTGAAAAGAACATTGCAGTTGTTACTTCATACCACGACCAGGTATATAAAACTGTATTTTACTATAATTGGCCTATTATTAATAGTATGAAGATAATAATAATTATTATTAATATTTATTCATGCATCATGTTGTTACTTTATACCACGCCCATATTCAACAGAATGTATTTCTAACGTACTATAATACATAATAATAATTATTATTATTGTTGGCCTTATTATTGACCAAATGTTGTTATAATTATTTCGTTTTTATTTCATTCATTACATTATGTATTTGCTTTAATCAAGGGTCTCGCCAGCTATACTTAAGCGTGGCGGGAGCGCCACTCTTGGGAGAAAAAATGACATGACCGCCACGTTTATGAAACATGAGCAATGATTACACCATGCTTTAAAAAATGTGCTATTAAGTGTATTTTATTCAAAACGTTACAAACAAATACCGAAGTTGTCGAACTGCAGGCAGTTCCACAATGTTCCCATGGGGAACAGTACTTGTATAATCGCATATCGTGAGGCACCGCCTTCATTGCAAGCCCAACTTCAGGATTCTCTCTGTAGGCCGCCTGTGCCTGCAAGTAGTGGGCTGCCTTTGAACTCAGGGAGGTCCCTGGTTGGCGTGGATAGGGTGCGTTCAGTCCGTACATGCGTGACGATTGCAATATTCAGTGGAGTGTCCGTATTTTATGAATGGTGATTGATAAAACAACACTTATTAATTTAATTTACGTGAATTTCTTATGAAACACGTTTTTTTAATACTGAATTTCGGCTGAGTATTAAAAAAAATTGTAAGGCTAAGCCATTGCGTACCCAATGAGCGTTTTACTGACAAGTCATGGTTATTTGTGAAATTCTACCGCGATTGAAAATGGACGGTTCTAAATAGGCCTTGTTTATCCACGTGGCGTTATCTTCAAGCAATTCTCAAGTTCTCCTTATGACTGTGCGCAACGCTTCACCTCAAGACACCGTAGGCCTAGGCTATACTCGCGCATAAGGCGACCCTCGTATAAAGGCCGGTTCCAACTGAACGCGATCAAGCGAATTTCGCGTCGAAATGTGGCGCGCACGGCTGAATCGAAGACGCGACTGGCGTTTCCAATATGAACATGCAAAACGAATTTGTAGTCCAACACGCGAACGCCCAATATTCGAACTTCGACGTGGTGCGCGCGGCGGTCGCGGAGGCTTCGCCTGCGAATTCACAAGAGTTGATCCAAGACCAACTTTTTCGGATTCGCGAGCGAATTCGCGGCCGATGGACCAATCGCAAGGCTTAAATTGAATTTATGTCAAAGGTCAACAGTAAAGTCACGACCATTGTCAAAACAATGAACAGAAGTGCGAACAATGACAGACGAGTCCGTTTCACGCAAACTCTGTGGAACAGTAGGCTACCCTTGTTTAGGTCTGTGACAAGGGAGCAAAGAAAATATGTGACAATGCGTGGAAAAGGATTTGCAGAGACGAGTTGAGTTATCTCCTCTTTCTACCAGTTTAGGCCTGTCCAGCCTAGGCCTCTGATTCCCTGCTACTACCTGAGACCTACAGTTGGGTAGGCTAGGCGTACTATCTACCCTTAGGAGGCCTAGCTCTAGGCCTTGAATAAATATATTTAAAAAACTATGTTTATTCACTCTTTTGATTCATTATAGAGTTCTGGGAATGTTAATCCTGAGGATTTTATCTGATTCGTCTCACAGCCCTTTTCCTCCGTCTATCAATGCGATAACAAAATCCCTTCTCTGTTGCAACCCGCCATTTCGAGCTTTTGCGCGCGGTCAGCAGTGGGAAACAGGCAAGCGAATCATTGGAAGCGAGACATTCTTTACCGAAAGTCAACTCTTGTGAACTTTGCGCGATTCGCTTCGTTTGCCGCGTGACGCCCGACAAGTTCAGTGGGAACCGGCCTTAAGCGACCCCCGAGTTTGAGAAGATTTTTGCATGTCGGGTGTTTAAGACGACCCCTTTTTCATCGTCAGAATTCCTAGTTTTCTGCTTTTTATGTTTTTAAATTTTTCTGTTTTTTTTTTTTTATGGTCTTGATACTGCATCAGTTGCCTATAAACGGAGTAAAATGCAAGTCTAATCTTCCAAAATAGTACCATTTATATATTTTAAACATAAAAATCTTACTTCCCTGTATATAAAATTGCGCTAATTTATACTAACATTTAGTAGGTTCATTGTAGTAATACATTCTTGTGTTACGGGGGACGATCTGCACTAAGACGAAGATGTCTAAAATGTGTAGGCCTATTCGTGCGTATAAGGCGACCCCCTGTGTTCCGTTCGTAATTTGCTATTTTAAGTATCGTCTACGCGAGTTATACGGTTGAAGCATTAATAGGTCTATGGTTGTATACAACAACACTTTAAAACAAAAAATAACAATTCAATTCAGTTCAATTCAATTGCTAAATTGAGTAACATTTCACAAAGAAATTATTGTTCATTTCAAAGCGAGAAAAAAAGACACTAAAAACTAGCCAATCAAGCATTAAAAAGACACCTAAAACTAATGAATTACAAAACATTGAAGAAGAGAGACAAATATTAAAAGAATTTATAAAGAGTGAACGAGACGGACCAGACATTTAAATAAATAGCATAACAAATACGATGAAGACATGTAGAATTAAATTAACAAAAAATTACCTACTGTTAAACTAGATTGGTATTCTAATTATTATTATTTTTATTATTATTGTTGTTGTTGTTCATGTTATGATCATTATTTTATTATTGATGACCCGAGAGATGTCACTATTGCCGTCTAACAAAGTTGTACATTAAAATATGGATTACTGGTTATTTTGATTCATCTACATTTGATTTGCTCATAGTTAAGATTCCTTCTTAGCCTATACTCTCTTTTTTGGGTTGAAGTTCTTCAGCAAACTGTTTGCATAGAATTTCCCTTCTTATGACAAGGGGTTGTAAATTTGTAACACTGAGGGCAGTATTTGTATAATCTTTACCAAAGATGCATCAATTCTCACAACCAACGACGGAAATGATATCTTTATTATCATTTTCATTACTAGATACTCTAAAATTATTCTTATTGCTAATTTTACCATATTATTAAAAATATACGTATAGTGTGAGGCTGATGATGACGACAATGATAATAGTAATAATAACATTTACCTTAATAGTAATAATATGCCGTTTATATACCAAAATCAAATAAAACATAGTCGAATTCATAGTCACAATCAAATTAGTATAATATCTTGCAGTCCACCACTTGAATAGTTCTGCAAAGAACCGATGTGTTGAGAGTATCTTGACGTTTCGAAGAGATTGTTTATAATCATAGTCACGAGAATGTGCTATAATTGTACAGTATGTGAGTAACTACAAGAAAAACAGTCAATTTTTATATTTATATGAAGACACTTGATCTAAGTCGGTTAGTGTACTTTCTTTCTCTTTCATGTATGTATTTAAGTGTCTTTGAAGATGAGCGACAGTGACGGATCCCTAGGAGTTCCATTATGTCACCGTCTAGCGTGTAATGTACTTTTCATTTGTTTTAATGTATGTTTCTCTACAAATAAAAATGTGTTTACCTTTTAATCTAAAGGTCATTCTAATCAGAACACTGCTGAGACAACGATGTATGAATGATATTGTCGTTGAACACGTTCGCAATATTCAAGGTAGGAAAATTTAATAGATAAATAATAATAATAATAAAATAATAGTGTCGAATAGGAACATGATGTTAATAAAAAAAAAAGGTAGTACCGCCAGAGTTGATAAAGGTCCATGATTAAACGTACTCGTTACCTGTTGTTTTCAAATAAAATTTGAGACAAATCTTTACCGTATCTCCTGTTTTTACTGAGGCCTATATATTTATTCGCTTATGCAGCACCTTTAATTTTTTTTACTATATATATATACAAATAAAACAACAAACACATTAGACGGACATGAACGAATTTATGAACGATATGACGGACAAGATTTAAAAAAAATTTAAATAACGAAAACATAAGTCGGACATGAAAAAATTCGTATAAGGAACGAACGTATAAGAAGGACATGATTCAAACAATAAAACAAAGCCAGCATAAGACTGACATTTCTCAAACAAATAACAAACGTATCGGACGGACATATTAAATTATTATTATTATTATTATTATTATTATTATTATTATTATTATTATTATTATTATTATTATTATTATTATTATTATTATTATTATTATTATTGCTTTAATCGGTTTTAATATGTTATGTATAATGTTTTTACTCTAAATATTAATAATACATTTAATTCTAGGGTGGGTGGGGAAGTCGACCTGGGCCCCATAAATTTTTGAGAAATAAAATGAACCTTACTTTCAAAAGTGTATTAAAGTGCTGGGTAGCAGTGGCGACCAACGGCGGTGGTACGTTTTTGAAAGTGGCGGGTGTAGGGGGTGGAAGCCATTTCATAAGGTCCAGTATGCGAGCTAAGCGAGCATCTAGGGAGGGGGGAAGCAGTGGGCCGCCAAGGGTCCCCAGTGGGGATCCAGGGGGATACACTACCTCAGCCCCACCACGGTTTGGGCTGAGGTAAGAAAATTTGTGTTTAAGGTACCTCTAGATGGCCGGAAATTGCACTCTCAGATTTAAAATTTGAATACAATTTTCTTTATAACTCCATTAAAAAAAATGGGAGGGTCTCCCAAATAGAAATGTCCACCCACCCTAGCCCCACAAAGTTGGGGCTGAGGCAAGAAAAAATTATGATTATGGCACCTCTAAATGGCCGGAAATGGCACTCCCAGATTAAAAGTTGAATACACTTTTGTCTGTTTTCTCCATTTTTTTTAGAATTTTGAAAAAATTAGGAGGTTGTGGGGGGGGGGCGTGCTGACTAACGTTCTGACAACAAAATGTGGTTGATGTAAACAATAGTACTGTGATAGGCTTAGGGTTAATGGCCAATCCAATCATCACATAGTTCAAACTTATACCTAACAAAACTAATTCCACACCCAACCTACAAGACACGATTTATACTACTGATTTGAACCCTGCCAATATGTTCACACTTGCCAAAGGCCTTCAAAACACTCTGCCCGTAAGTCCTATCATCTCCGGCATCAATTCCCTTACCGAGCACATTTCTGGTTTCATTGACAACATCCTTAACCCTCTTCTTCCTAACATAAAAAGTCATATACAAGGCTCCACACACTTCCTCCGCAAACTCCAAGAAATAACTAATCTACCTGACACGGTAACTCTCCTGGTTAATATGGATGTTACTGGCCTTTACACTAACATCCCCATGACGAACAACTAAACGCATGTAAACACTTCTTTGATACATTTTATCCCACACCTTATTCATCTGATATTATTTCACTCATCAACTTCATTCTAACCCACATTCACTTTAACTTTAACAATGCTAACTATCGCCAAATCAAGGGCACATCTATGGGAACTAAAATGGCCCCCTCATACGCTAACATAGACTACTTTGAAAATCTTCTTTATATTGCCACACGGTCCGGACAATCTCAATTCATTCATCTCCCACATCAATAACTCTCATCACAGCATTTAAGTTCACCGCGGAAAACTCCATCTTAGAAATCCCATTTTTAGGTGTGTTAGTAGCCCTAAAGGATAATAAAGTTAGCAGCACTGTTTGCACAAAGCTTACTGACAATCACAGATCTATAACTTTAATAGCGCTCACCCCACTGAACTCAAGAAATCCATAGTTTACAGTCAGGCGCTCAGAATTAGAGGAATCTCCTCCACCACTGCAGAATTTGATAAACACATTAACACACTTATCCATTTAATTAAGACTTAGCAACTTTCCCATGAAATTCACCAAGCCATTTATCATGAAAGCCTCGTCTAAATCACACCAGCAACTTCTAGATTACAAAGCTAAATCGAACTCTATTCGTATACCCTTGTCACGACTTGACTATAACCCCCGAATCCAACACCTCGCCAAATCCATCACCCACGATTTTCGTATTCTCTGCGACTGCACTTCATCTAATTCTGAAACACTGTATCACCACATCTCATAGGTTACCTACAACCTCCTAACCATAATTCACTACTCACGTCTTCTAAATTCCCCCTATCACCCCTAGGCAATCGCTCTTGTGACAATTGACGATGCCAAATTTACAAACTCCTCATCACCGACGACACCATCAGCATCCACCATTTTAACATAGCTATACACCCACCACCCCTCACTTGCAACGCTTCTAATGTTATCTACCTAATAATGGTGTACCCAGTGTATGGATATCATATACGTCGGGAAAACGGGTTGCAAATTCTGGCTTAGATTTAATAACCATAAAATTTTTTTTATTAGAAACATTGCATTAGGCTTTCTTGTACTTGTAAGCATTTCAACCAAGCCAACAATTCTATGATTAACCTTAAACTTATTCTATTAGCTACAGGTTTTAAATATCTGTTCCCGACAGACGATGTTGTGAATTAAAATGGATCATTAAATTAAACACACAGAAATCGCATTAATAAAGACATGGGATTTCTCCAAAATTACACTTTTATTAATTAGTTCATTTAAGAAAACATTTATTATATTTCTATCTATTTATTTTCTTTAGCAACCGAGATCATGCTACTCTGTTTATTTATCATTATCTTTATTGTTGTTGCCGCCCCATATAATCCGCCTCTAATTGCGTACCATTAACTATCGTAGCCACTGTCTTAATTGTTTATTCTTGTTTGTTAGATTAAAAGTCTTTTTTTAATCATAGGTGTTATCGTTGAGGCAGGGTACAGGAGTGCTCGAAATATTCGAATTAAAGTATTGTTATGTTTATAATATCAACGTATACGTTTCTGCCCTGTGCAATCGTACATATATACTGTATATATATATATATATATATATAAATCATCAGAGAAGGTAAATACAGTGTTCGAATAAAGGACATAATAATACATCGTGTAGCATTCTCTCAACGAATGTAGTCCTGTAAATAAATGAATAAAGAAATTGTGTAATAAAATGCCTCTAATGTCATCTACCTAATAATGGTGTACCCAGTGTATGGATATCATATACGTCGGGAAAACGGGTTGCAAATTCTGGCTTAGATTTAATAACCATAAAATTTTTTTTATTAGAAACATTGCATTAGGCTTTCTTGTACTTGTAAGCATTTCAACCAAGCCAACAATTCTATGATTAACCTTAAACTTATTCTATTAGCTACAGGTTTTAAATATCTGTTCCCGACAGACGATGTTGTGAATTAAAATGGATCATTAAATTAAACACACAGAAATCGCATTAATAAAGACATGGGATTTCTCCAAAATTACACTTTTATTAATTAGTTCATTTAAGAAAACATTTATTATATTTCTATCTATTTATTTTCTTTAGCAACCGAGATCATGCTACTCTGTTTATTTATCATTATCTTCATTGTTGTTGCCGCCCATATAATCCGCCTCTAATTGCGTACCATTAACTATCGTAGCCACTGCCTTAATTGTTTATTCTTGTTTGTTAGATTAAAAGTCTTTTTTTAATCATAGGTGTTATCGCGGAGGCAGAGTACAGGAGTGCTCGAAATATTCGAATTAAAGCATTGTTATGTCTATAATATCAACGTATACGTTTCTGCCCTGCGCAATCGTACATATATACTGTAGGCCTATATATATATATAAATCATCAAAGAAGGTAAATACAGTGTTCGAATAAAGGACATAATAATACATCGTGTAGCATATCTCTCAACGAATGTAGTCCTGTAAATAAATGAATAAAGAAATTGTGTAATAAAATGCCTCTGGCGGGACTCGAACCCGCGACATCTTGCTGTCAAGTCGAGCGTCATAACCATTAGACCACGGAGGCTTCATGGTTGAGAAGATTCAAATACCACCAGATACACTCCATTACACAATAAGTACGGCTAGAAACAAATAGTTGCGTATAATATAAATCAAGATAGCCGTTAACACTGTTAAATTAATTATATATATAAATCATCAAATAAAGGTAAATGCAGTGTTCGAATAAAGGACATAATAATTCATCGTGTAGCATAGCTCTCAACGAATGTGGTCCTGTAAATAAATGAATAAAGAAATTGTGTAATAAAATGCCTCTGGCGGGACTCGAAACTGCGACCTCTCGCTGTGTATATATATATATATATATATATATATATATATGTATGTATATGTATATGTAACGTTCCTATAGGTTCCTATATAATTGACGAGATGCAACATATTTATCTGAATCTTTTAGGGAGGCAGTTTAGAGTTATATTCATTTCGACAGTCCGGACACGAAAAACCTTAAATCTAGATGAGGTAACGGCAATCAAAGGGAATGACTACATTTCAACGCACAAATATGGTTTCTTGTCTGATGTAAAGCTTCTAAACACTGCTTTCACACGTGCTAAATCCATGGTGGTAGTAGTCGGTGATCCAGTCGCACTTTGTTCTGCTGGTGAATGTTGTTTGTTTTGGATCGAATACGTCAAGCGTTGTGAGGATCTCGGTGGTATTTCACCCAAAAGTCTTACTTTTGATAAAGTAATGTACAATACAAGACAAAAACTGGATCCCATGGCTAAAGCTTTTGAACCATCCTTTTCGATAGGAAAGGTGCAGACATTAGTACCTGACCCTAACATGTCGACAAATGAAAATAAATATATACAGCAAAAGCCGATGATACCTCTATCACAAAATGACACAAAATTAGGCCTACAGCTTGATAATTATCGAAAAAAGCTAGCAGAACAGCAACGCGAAGCAAAACTAAATGACGTAATATTGCGTGAGTTAAAATTAGGAGAACAAAACGATGATTTCGAAGAGAACGACGATATTCAAAAAGAAAAATCCAAGAAAAAGCCAAAGACTAGGCGTAATTGGAAGAAATTAGAAAACTATGAACAAATTATAGAAGGACGGGATATTAAATACATTCCGTCTCGAGAAGACGGTGTAGTAGAGCATTCCAGCGAGCATTGGTTAGCTATGTGTGAAAAGACACCAGAAAAATATAAGTACTGTACTTTTAATATTGATAGCACAGGGAATATGTTTGCAATTGAAAAGAACACGGGAAAGCATATTTGTATAACAAGTGCAAGACGAAGGTGTACGGCGTTTGAAAAAGATGCTGTTGTTGTTCAGATATTTGGCAATGATAATAATGATTGCAGCGATGATATCTGCGGCGCAGTAAAATGCGTTGTCGAACGCCACTCCAATCCACATTTACAGGCGTTTGTCTGCAAATTAGACACACGAACCAATAACCTGATGGTTCCACTCAACAAGTCTTTACCTAAATTAGCTATTCTTGGTATGGAAAGCTCAACATACCCGAAGGCACGATTAAAAATCTATAAAGTCAGTGATGGCCACGTGGACGAAGAGGAACTATTAGTACCAACGGGCATTGAAGAAGTATCTATCACAGACCGCCCTAATGCTTTATTCATTGTAAGGTACCTAAAATGGTATCCGAAGTACATTTATCCCCTAGGATGTGTGACAGAACGTCTGCCGCCAGGGGATTCTCTTAATAGGGGACTTCAAATAATTTCACTTGAACACAATGTTGACGTCCAGGACCAATGGAGTGAATCAGTTAAAAAAGAAGTAAAAGAAAGTAAAAAATTCAACGAAAAATGGCGAATTCCAGAAACCGAAATCGGTGACAGGCTGGACTTACGAAAGGAGAGTGTATTTACGATCGATCCTGTAGACGCAAATGATCTCGATGACGCACTCAGCGTTACAATATTATCTGATGGTAATTACAAAGTAGGTATCCATATTTCGGATGTTTCATATTTTGTTCAAAGACAATCGGAAATCGATTTAGAGGCAAAGAAAAGATGCATCTCGCATTATCCGACCTCAGCAAAACCTATTCCTATGATTCACAAAAACCTTAGCAGTAATAAATGTAGCTTATTACCAAATGAAGACAGGTTTACAATATCGGTGATTTTCAAAATCGACGAAGAAGGTTGTCCAGTAAAAGACAAAACAAACATTGTGAGGTCCATTGTTAATTCCCGCAATCAATTTTCTTATAAAGAGGTTGAAGAAATAATTCACAAAAGATCTAATGGACCAAGTGAAAACCTGACAAAGCAAATAAGACTACTTAATCAACTCGCAATCAAAAGAAGAGAAACTAGATTGAAAAGTGGCAGATTCTGCTACTCTCACGATGATGTCACTAATGACTTAGACTGTCCTCTAGCACATTCACTTGTCGAAGAATTCATGTTACTTGCAAATGAGACTGTTGCCACATTTCTCACAGGATCGTTTCCAAAATGCGTCCCATTAAGAAGACAGTTATCTCCGGATTCAAACAAAATGCAGGAATGGATTCAATCGTTCCATGGGCCAATCAAAAATAGTTTAGAAATGTCAGCTAAGATAGCAGACTTGCCTGACGACTCATCTAGTAACATGACTTTGACCACAGATGTTTGGAACGAGCTTGTCCGTTTGTTAAAGATACAGCAGAATAAAGAAGAAACTTCTGTGCCTAAACTAAGTCCCGACGATGAAGACTTCTTTGAAATGATTGATTTAGTGGCAAATGACATGCTGCATCCCCAGCTAATGTTAATGAAATTAAAGTATTATGACATTCAATGTAAGTCTGATTACGTTTGTTCTGGTCGGGATGACGAAAGGCATCATTCACTGTCACTGTCCCGTTACACACATTTCACGTCGCCTATTCGAAGATACATCGATCTGGTTGTACATCGCCTTCTCGTGGCAGCACTGGAAAAAAACCAACAACCTCCTTACACACCTAAAGAAATTGAAGATATTTGTAATTACATGAACGAAAAGGCATTGAATGCGAAGCGTTTCCATCGGCGAACAAAAGATCTCGTTTTGGCACTTGATCTAAAAAAGCATGGCGCACTTCCCTATCAACCAGTCATCGACAGCGTAGATGATACAAATATATACCTACAGTTCCCACAGTCCTACATCAATCGATCCCAAACTCCTTTGAGTTTTAACCACTTGAAACCATCTGAACGTGTTGTAACAACCAATGAGATGTCGACTGTAACGTGGAAGATAAGTCTTTGCGATGCATGCGATAAATCGAGCCTCCTATTGTCCGTGAATATGCATGAACTTTCGCGACTGGACCCTGCTAGATTTATTGTCGAGATGGAAAGCAAAAATTGGCAGAAATTAGTAGATGCCATTACATCTGGAACCCAAACAGACGTGAGAAATACTTTGGACAATTGTATGAAAAACATTCACATAAAATGTGAATCGAGAAAAGAGAAAATGTTAGTAGACACGGTAAAATACGAAAAATTTGAATGCAAGTTTCAACGCTTTGACGTAATGCGGGTTCACCTAGCACCCGAGCTTCGAGATGGGATGCTTCAACCAACCATCCAGCTTGTTAGTTTAGCTGAAAACATAGATGTGTGTCTGGAACATCGCAAAAATCCTGTTCTTTGTTTTTCTCAGCTTGCAGCTGAAGACCCTCGTGGTTCAAAATTTATTGAACGGTATAGGACGACATGGCTTTCAGTTCTAGCTATGTGCTCAGCTTATGGCGCAGTGCATGAAGACAATGCAACTATTATCATAAAAGTGAACATAGAATGGCGGCCAGGTGACAACGGATCATTCACAGGCTCATTTAAGCTACTGGAAGAATTCTGTGATTCCAACATGTTACGGTAACTATCACAGTTGCATTCTTTATATTAAATTCAAAAGTGATAATATGAACACAATTTTAACCGTTGTTGTATTCTTTCAATATTGTGTATGTTATAATGATAATCCTTTCTGCTTTATTAGAATTTAATATTTATTGAAGTGTGACGTATAATAATTGTTATATAACCCTAGTATAAGTTTGAACAGGACCATATGAAAAAAAGGCTTTAACATTGCAACCACCTGATATATGTTTGAATCATGTATAAATATGCCTGTGTTTTAAATTAAAAAAAAAATAATCGATATATAGTAAGTGTATTGTAACGATCTTGGTTTGTCCCAGATTTTTCAGAAAATCAATTAAAAAGAAAGGAAAAGAGAATCAAAATGACGATACAACTGATACTCGTGCGTTGGACTACCTTTGCGTACGTTACTCTAATCTTCAGTGTCCGCCTCGCCCTCAAGGTAGCAAACCGACACATTTGAGAGGAAAATCAACATATGTTTGGGTTGGACATTGTTATACAACTGCTGTAAATGATATTGTTGAATCAAATAAAACGTATTTGATGGTGAAATTGCAGCTTAATCAATCTGCCATACCATTACCATTTGTTCAAATAAGGACACAAGGAGCTCTATGTACCGTAGAGCTAATCCCTAAAAGTCCACCAGATAGGTAAGTAGCATTATGATGCAGTGTGTGCTTCGTTAAATATATGTTTTTTAAGCTAACACAGTTTTAGGCCAAGAAAGCTTTTACACCGATTTATGATTATAAGTGACGCTTTTTTGTTGGTTTTATCAACTTAATTCTTGAACAGCGACAGGGGTGAAGTAAGATCTACAATCGACACATAGAAACAGCTGTATTATGCGCCTTATAAGTCCATTGATTGATTGATTGATTGAAATTATTGGATAAAATGTTGTTGTAAAGCGTCCTGGAAAGATTTGTAGAAGTGACTACAGAAATAATACACTTTGGTGTACTGTATATTTTTTTACCTCTGTTGGTAGTCTGAAAACATCATGCCAGAAATAAATTTTGGATTCAGCAAATTATGTAAATAGGTATTGAAGTGATGCCCTAAATTTAGGTCACACTCTGATAGTAGCAAAATGTTATATGAAGAATAAGAAAAATAGTGAATGAGATAATACTACAATATTATAGGGAAAAAATTATAAATTAACTTTGACGTTAACCTTGTTTAAGCCCCGAACCAATAAGGAAATAAGCTTATACTTTCCTTTCGGGCGAGTCAAGTGGCCGAGCGGTGAGGTATGGGGACCGGTAACTAAAGCCTTAATCGGCTCTGGTCCAGTGTACACTTCTTTCGGAAGAGTAGGGGGGTTTACTCCGATGCGATGGTTCATTTCAGCTCCTGTCGTTGTGGAGTGATGTGAACATGCAGCTAATATAAGCGCTTATTTACAGCGGCTGGTAATGACGGACTACGCCCATACGCAATTGAGTTATGGGTTAATCGCCTACCTTTACCTTCCTTTATAGGCGGACAGAAGCAGCAGTGCTCGATTTAGACCCAAGTCGTTCTGAAACGTCTCTGGCAAGATGCATTGTCCTTCAACAGAAAATTATTTCAAATAGAGGTAAGTTAAAAGAGAACTTAAAAACTGATTTTTTTTTTCTATAGAGGAATTGTGACTATGTCATTTAATAATAGACGAAACTTTTTCAAAGTTATTGGCCGATTCAGTTTCTTATGATTTTTATTTATTTCAAGTAAATTCTGATAAAAAATACCATCCTTATCAGCATCATCTTCTTTTCCTGATTCTTAATTAATCACATTGTGTATTTTTACTGAGGCTTACCTCATTTTCGTTTAAAACCAATTCAACGTGTCGCATAGCCTTATAGTATTTTGCTAATATAGATATTAATCATCAAGCATGAGAGCTATCTACTTTCGAAGCTTTTTAATTGAATCCTACTTGCATGTTTATTCTTTAAATTATTTAGTTATTGAAGGCGGAGAAAGTCTGAACAGAATCTGCAGGAATTGGAAGATACATTCTATCCCAAGGTGTCACAACGCATCTGCCCTTCCACATCCAAACTTTCCACAAAGAAATGCAATCGAGAAGGCAATTTCACAGACGTTTACTGTTATTCAAGGTCCTCCAGGTATAAGAAACATTACGATTTTATGTTATTGTCGTCTCCTCCTCCCTCCCGTTTCTTCCTCTTGTTATTTTTTTTTGTTCTTTTGTTTACTTCATCTTCTGCTTTTCATAATTATTCTTTGTCATCTTCTGATTCTTAGTAATTGTCTTTTACCCTTTCTTAATATTTTTCTTCTTCATCCACTATCCTGTTTCTCGTTATGCGCCTCACATGCATTTTCCATGCCTTTCTTCTCTCCGTCGTTGCTCTTTTCTTCGACATACTCTTGGTTTAATGTTAATCCAAAAACTTTAAAAGTATGCTCTTAAGTCTAAATAAACTATGATAGTCAAGACTTCTTCAGTTTTAGGTTTATGTTTTACAATCGCTTTCTTGATTATAGGTACTGGGAAGAGCGTGACAGGTTCACAGCTTGCATTTTTCTTTGCTCAAATAAATAAAAGCGTGGAAGCAATTAATCGACCCCAAGTCCTGTACTGTGGCCCATCAAACAAGTCTGTTGAGGTCGTTGCAGGTATAGTTTCACCCGCCACAACTACTATTTTAAGCCTCATATAGGGCTACATATTTATTGCAATATAGATATATTCATTTTCTTTATCATATTTCATTATTTCTGAAGAAAAAACATGCTGGTGTCATAATCAGCTAACATACATTAAAATGTACAGTTTAGTGTACAAAACGTAGGCTTATTTATAACGTAGGCCTAGACTCCGAGCCGAAATCCTGTTAAAGAGTTCAGATTAAGTACAATGGACCAAATACACGGGAGACCTAAACTATAATGTGTCATGGGTGCGTGTGTTGCTGAATTTGAAATTGGCAAAATTGGCTGTTTACCGCTAACGTTATATTCTGCATATAACTTTATTTGTCATTGTGTTAGGTTACCTGAAACGATTGTCAGATATTAGGGCGGTTCGTGTTTACAGTGAAAGCATTGAGGATAAAGATTACCCAAGGCCCTGGCTTGCAAAGTCCAAACGGAAGTTTTCCATGATGGAAGCGTCAATTGATCCGAAAAATCGCGATATAGCCCTTCATCACCTAATACGCCAAAGAGGAAATCCATATTCATGCAAAATAGAACGAATGGAGGCGAAGTTTACCAAACGGATAGAGGAATACAGAAAGGCTACATCGAGAAAATCCAATTATAAATATGACGCTCAAACTAATAGACAATTGACACTAGAAATTACAAAAGAGGAATTAAAAGCATACAAAGCACTAATTATGATTGCTAAGGTACCGTATGATACTTGATTTTAGAGGTTGCTTATGAAGAAGCCTCCATATATTTATGGATGAATTGTTTCCAGTTTCAAGGTTCATGTATTCACCACTTATACAATCAAATAGGCCTACTTATACAAAATTATGAACATAGTATACAGTGGTAGGTTTATCATAAAGAAATAGAGCTCGAACATTTTATTGGCACCCTAAACTTAATAGTGTTTACTAATAATATATTTTGTTGTTAAACTTTTCCCGTTTGTTCATACTAATTACCTATTATTTCTCTAATCCAAGAAAGAAGAACTGCAAAAGTACGATGTCATCCTGTCAACGTGTAATGTTGCCGGAGCCTCAGAAATAAGAAGATTCTGTAACATTATTGAATGTATCATCGACGAAGCGGGAATGTGTACTGAGCCAGAGACTCTGATTCCACTAGTTGCATGCACACCGCACAAAGTTGTCCTCATCGGAGATCACAAGCAACTTCGGTATAGTCTTACTATATTATCTAAT